TTAGATTAGAAGGGGAAGGGGACTAACTTGCCCTCTTTTGTTACTTGCGAATGGTCATGTAGAAACACAGTAGAACACAGCCTATAACCACTACAATGCTGAAGTAATATTTTAATAAGTAACATTATCCAATGTATTTCCTCAGTACACATATACTAAAGTCAACCTCTCAAACAAGCTTGACTATACAACACCACAGAAAATAGAAATCACACTGGTTTTCATCATTGCTACTGGAAACACAACATATCTCTGCACAGGAACTGTGTTTTACAGTAGTAAGTTTTTCAGTTGTAACTGTCGAAAGATTAGAGGCAATTGCTATGGAGATAAGATATACAGTTATTAAGAATCAGAGCAGGCAAGTTTTTGAGTTAAGGTGACCCGAAGAAGAATCACAATTGGTCTTACAAAAGTACAGCACACCTTGCTATTCTCCATAGTGTCAACTACTCAAAGCTTCAGTTCAAGCCAATTCTTTCTACTAGTCCTGCTCTTTGGTTCACACTCTTACAGTAACACTGACACTCTCCTGACTCCTTAGTGAGTTGGCTCAAGATGCTAAAACACATCTGTAGGGCAGGAAACTAGTCACTTCTTGCTGTGTTTAATATTCCTGCCACCTTATGCCACTTCACCAGCTTCCTTCAGGAGAAGAAGTTTCAACTCTGATATAAGAAAGACAATAACAATGAATGGGAGGGAAAAGGTCTCCCTTTGCATATGGTACTGTGGAAGCACCAACTTTGGTGGCCCTCAAAAAAATCCCATAAAAGCTATCACAATTAAAAATTAAAATAGTGTAAGTTATAGCAATCCCTAAGTATACAAAGTAAACATGCAAATCACTCACTTTATAAGCAACGAGACTAATTGTTAACAAGTATTGTAACAGTACCTATGATTCAGAATTTATCCGGGTGTTCCACAAACCCCTTTAAAAGAGGTTAAAACATTTTGAAGCAAAGATACTGACAGTCTCATATGCTCTGAAGGCATTTTCAATCAACTAAAAGCAAACCAAAATAACATTTTCCTGCATTCTACATAACCACCTTATGTTTTTTTCCAGCCATTTCACCAGAACTCATTCTGGGTGAAGCATTCTTTTTGAGTCTAAAGTACTGATAATTTTTAAAGTCACATCAGCACCGTGTTTTCCAAAGGCAGCCAATATTAAATGAAACTAAACCAACATTAAATAAATCAAAACTGCAGGACAGAACCAATCTGTAAAGTGACTAGAGGGAGAGCAGTGCTCAAGTCAGCAAGTGGGGGCAAAACTGTGAATGTAAAAATGAGAGCTTTGGAGGAGTTGACCATTTTTCCTGGAAGACATCCTGTTTTCCAGCCTTTGTTGCTTTATTATTAGAACAGAAGTATTGGTATTTTCATGTCTTTGATTTTTTGAGAAAAGGGTTGGGTTAGGACACACCTTCAATATTAGGTGTGCCACTAAACAAGCTTTTGAAAACTACAAACTTGCAGTCCAGCTATAAGCCACGTAGTCTTCAAGAACTGAACCAAAAATTTAAATAATTAACTTTATGATATTCTGTTCTCAAAGTTAAAGATAACTCAACTTAAAGAAGCAGAATATGTGGTAAATATACATAATGTTAACATAATGAGAAGTAATACAAAGCACCTTACAAATCCTGACTATTTACACAGTGCTAAATTCTAGCTGGCATTGAAGCTCAGAATTTTTAAAAACTACTTCAAAACATCAGAATGCATATATTTTTTTCTCTTGTTATCTTATATATTTGGACATATTTTATAAGCTGTTAAAACTTTTAGTACCTTCTTTACAATAACAACAAAAAAAGCCCACAGTATTTTAAAAGTTTCATATAATGTAAGAACTCTTCCAGCATCAAAAATTTCATGCATTACTCAGAAATATGAGGCTGGTAAACTCATTAACCAAGTATGTTCGGAACTATTAATTTAGGCTGTGTTGCCTTATATAGTCATTAAGGCCAGCAAACAGATGATAGAGAGCAAGAGGAATTGTTGCCAGTTACTTTCGACTGGAAAATATGAGAACAAAATCTAATGCTAGCTGCCAACTAATTCCTCTTCTCTTCTAACAAAAATATTGCAGAAAAGCTTTCCTTGGCTGAAGCCACTTGCTCTCTAGTAAGAAGACAGAATTTGGTTATTGCTATAAACAAGCCTTATTTTACATTTTTCTACAGAAGTTAGAAAAACAAACACCAAGATGACACATTGCAGTGGGGAGAGAAGTCTGCTTGGAAAAAAAACCCTAAATATCCATGTATAACTGTTGAAATTACATGATAATGTAATTCAAAGATACTTTTTTTGAACAATCCACTCTTAAGTTTTCTCGGACCTTGGCCACTAGCTTAGTTTTCAAGTGAAAGGGGAATGAAAACCACTTTTAATGTTTTCGTAACTGAATATTTTGGGGAAAGGGTTGGCTTTTTAATTTTGATATTCCAGTCCACTCTACTTCCCATCATTTTTTGTCCCACTAAGTCACCAGACTCCTAATAAAGCATCATGGCGGTAGGAGTAAAGACAAAATTACTTTGAACAAAGTACTTTAAAGTTCAGAAAACTGATGACCAGAAATGAGAGGTGTATTATTTGATATATTTTCAGTTTACTATCTCAGTTACAAGTTGCCCAAGTTAAGCACTTAGCCAATACAAGGCACTTAGAGTGGATCAGGGACAGAAAGAGCACAGATACCAGAGCAAAAAACTGACTGGAGGTATCTGGGAATACCAGAAATGATAGGTTCAGAAAAATGCTACCAGAGCACGATGCTGGGAAACAGAGGAAGTGTCAGAAAGTGCTCACAAACCAACCCACCTGCTGCTGATCTTTACCTCCCTATCCCCTGCCAGCTTTCCTGCCTCTCCTCTAGAAAGCAGCAAAGCAGTAGCAGCCCGAGGCACCCCAGGAAAGCAGTCCAGACACACTGCATTGAGTCAGGACTCTGGCACTTAGTGTGTCAGATTGGCTTCTGCAGAAGGATTGTAGAAACCGGTTTCTTTCTCAGTGAATATAAAACAGAACTGATAGAGGCAACACAAACCACATCAACATGAAGAAAGGTCATTCTTGTAGGAAAAAAAATGTAAAGCCTGTGTCCACACAGCTAAACTCTTCTCCCTGTTCCTCAAAAATAGAGTGTTTGCATTTAACTTGTTTATTAGATGGTCCCTGTAATGAGCTGGGCACTGTACCTAATCTGGAAATTGTTTGGGAGAGCACTAAATAACAAAACAGCATCAGAGAGTACGCTAACAATTACACAGTGCAGACTACCATAGAGTTCAGTCCTTGTCATGGCCCTGCTTAGACTGTTAGTATAAACATGAACATTAACAGATGTCCTACACTCATACTGCTCAGCCAGAAGGTAAAATAAGACAAAACTTAAGCAGACATCTCCTAATGTTTAGACTTTACTCAAAGAAATGTGTAGAAATCCAAATTTGGTTCATCCCACTGAATCAAATATTTTGGTTCCAAAACCAAAACCTTTTCAAAATATGAGCCACGATGTTTCATCAGTTTCGCATGAATTATTTCACTTTTACCAAAAATCTCACTAAATTATCTACAAAACATTTAAAATTCTTGTGTGTTTTAAGTCTACATTCCCCCCACCCAAGCACACATGGTTTCTCCAAACAAATGAAACAAGCCACATAAATGACACAAGTGACACCACAAGTTTTTCCTCGGCTGCACGTAAACACCTACACAAACCTATCTTTTCAAGGAACTACTGAAAATCTATCATAGGATAGATGGCAGAGATTCACAGTGTTTCAAGTCAGCCTGTTGCAGTGCTTCACTACCATTCAGGCCTTCCCTCATTCCCCTTGTCCAGCCTGAATCTTCCTTGTTGTGATTATTGGTTATCCTATCTGCCACTGAAATGCGGAATTGATTGTGTTTCTTTTCTGCATGTGCCTTTGACATTTTGAAGAATATGTTCTTCTTTGTCTTCTCTGAACTAAACAATTTCCATTCTTTCAGTCTGTCCTTGAGGGTCAAGTTTATTCTCATCTCCCTACTTTGGATACTCTCCAGCTCAGCAGTACTTTTGTTGAGGTGCCGTGTCTACAACTGAAAGCATTTCTGGTTTATCCTCTTGTTTACACATGCCAGTCTAGCTATATTGTTGTCATACCAGCCAGACCTTGTTGGCTTACCTTTGCTTCACTATTATTCATGCCCAAATGTGCACTTTGGCCTAGCACATATTCCAGCTGAATTACGTGACACCCTCTCTTTCTCTGACTTCTGCTAATGCCACGATTGTTTCGAAATCCAATTCCATCTCACACTGTACTTCATCTGTTCTCACACTTGGGTCATTTGTAAATGTAATGGTAATAGCCCACCTCCTACCCGGGTTAAAATCTTCAATCATCATAGAGGGTAATCTCAAAACACCTATTCTGATTTTAATTTGTGGTAACACCAGCATGGTTTTCAAAACAACCTTGTGCAGATGTTGGGGAATTTTAACTTATACCACACTCACCTGCAGACTGTCATAACCAACAGAAGTTGGGGTTTTTTGGTTTGTGGGTTTTTTTTGTTTGTTTGTTTGTTTTGTTGTTGTTTTTTTTTTGGGGGGGTGGGGAGTGGTTTTTTTTGTTTGGTTGGTTCTGGTTGGTTTTTGTTGTTGTTGTTTTTTTTTGTTTTCTTTTTTTTTTTACAAACAACCTAGATGGTGTCTATTGATCTTTACTTGTCCAGGAGATGTGTGAGAAAAAATTGACAGCTTTGACATAAAAGACTTCCTAAGTCCACGGTAATTATTATTCATCTTGGCTTCTTCCAGCATTCATTATATTTGTCCACTTTTTTCTGAGAGAAGTTCAACCAAATAGTAGCAATTTCCCAAATTCTTTCCTTTTGCTGCTTAATTCTTGCTCCATCATTTTCTGACTGCTATCATCATCAGCACTAAAAAGAGTAGCAACAGAGCTAAAAACACTTACAGGTTTCCTAAGGAAAAAAAGGGATAGTGCTCCAATTAGGGGCATGTCTCCAATTAGTGGTTCCAGGATAACCCTCATAGTCCCATGAATCTGTGAAAGAGGAGGAAAAAAGGCAATGGGATTGACTTTAGTTCAAGTTAAATAAAACCTATTCACTGGCAATGCTCGTACTTCTGATTCATGAAATTTGTGATTATAGAAGAATTTTATGTATATAGCTTACATGTCATCCAAACCCAATGCCAATTTACATAGGCATTAAGTAGTTTGGCTTACAAATTCTTTGCATTAATCTACACAAGGGTGTGTCATGTTAGTGATAATTTTGCTAAAAATATGAAGTAGATTATTTATACAGCTCAATATAAACAATTGTGGCCCAAACCAATATAGCAGCATCCACAAATACTAGAACAAGCGTTGGTAAATGCTTATAGGTACATCAAGACACAGACAAAAAAAGCATACTATGTTTCCTTGTTAGAGAGAGATATCTATCATCAAGAAGTTAAGGAAATTTGAGAAACAATATCAGAAGGCAAGGCTAATTATAGTAATTGCATGTAAAGTAATGATTTCATCTAACAGTGAAATATTAAGTAAAACAAAACTTTAAGCTCCATGGTTCCTTCACAAACCTATGCATGACATGAACATTGGCTTGATGTGAAATTATCTCCACCTTTTCTAGAAGAAAATGTTACATATTTAAAAGAGTTCTGTATCTGAAACTAATTTACCCTTTCATCTAAGTCATGCCACTGAAATTATTATGCAATATCAATATTATGCAACTGTGAAACAATAGTAAGTAACAAAACTACACAGTTACTGGTTCTTTCCTATAAACTAATTAAATCAGAAAATAACAATGCAGTGATGTCTCTATCAAAATCGAAAGAAAAAAATTAATTTTACCTGTATACTTTTCACACCAGCTCTGCAGAAGTATCTCTTGATCTCCAAATCAATTTCACAGTTTCCAACAAAACTAAAACCAAAAAGAAAGTATACATTTCATTTTGATGGACTAAAATGTAATACACAGTTATTTTGCACTGTCATGACAATATATTTCCTATCTTAATCCATACATAAGAAATGCATATTAAAACATCACAACATATAACAGTCAAGATTGTCAAACGAACTACATTCTCTTCAAAACATCACCACTGTCATCAAAATCACTCAAATTAATACATAGGTATGTTATCATCTCCAGAAACATGTATAAGAGAAAACACACAAGTAGCCTTATTTCTGGGAAATAACAGACACAGGATTCACACTCCACTTCAGGAAAGTTCTACATAGGTTTCATTGACAATACATTTACCCAAATCCCCTCTCATCTAATATAACCATGAGAAGCACTAGACAAGAGATGGTTATTTTGCTAAAAATTAAAGTTATCTGAAATATACAGAGACTTGCAAAACCAGTCATATTTAGAAATTCAATAAGCTGGGCGTGCTGAGCTGGATGATCCATTAAGCAAGGTTTAAGCCAAAAACAGCTGAGCCCTTTCTGAAGGGAGAGAGGAGGCAGGAAGTAAATTAGAAAATAATATATTAAAAACAAGGTAAGTTTTTCCCTGAACAGTTTTTGCATCCCATTTTTGAGAATGCAAGGTCAAAGGCTTGAAATCTTGCAGATACTGCCCTGTACCTTGGAGATAGGTTTGTAGAAGAAAAAAATCCCCATCTATTTTGCCCATGCTACAAGGCTAAAAGATTATGTGCACATGACTCGGACTCAGATATTAGCAGCTATTTTTCCTGAAGCTCCATGTAGGTCAAGCATGTACCAGCAGAGTTGAGCAGATCTTCTCCAAGAACTGCTGCTGCTGTGAGCCATATTGGGTCTGAAAACAAACTAATTCTGAGACTCAAAAAGAAATCTAGGAAGAAAGCTTGAGGTCCCCTTGCAGGACCCCTGCCCCCTCCCCTGGCAACTGATGGCCACAGGGTACTACCAAACGAAAACAAAGGTGAAAGTTGCTGCATCCAAGATATCCATTATTCAAACCATCTGTAGCCTCCTGTGGTCTGTAATAGTGCTGTCTATGGGATTTCAAGCAAATGTACCTCTTACCAATCCCTTAAACAGAAATAAACTATATTATCAAGACATCCTTGTAAACATCCAACACTAGAATTTATTTTGGACTATTCAAAAGGTAAGACTATGCAGAATCAGTTTCGTACAATGACCAGTTTGGGGAAATGAAACACAACAACATGACAGGGTTCTATGTGAAAGGAAGGTCAGTATTGCTTTCCCTGGAAAGAATGTAATGTGACTGTAGAGTTTAAAAATAGGTGTATAATTTTTAATACACAATTTAAAAGGATTTAATTTCTATTTTTACCTATATAACTATAAATAGAGATAATAGATATATATACACACACAGACACACACACATATAGAACTGGATAACAACACAACACAGAGAAGCAAGGTCAATCAAAACCTGCAACTGAAACCTCAATCTTGGCACTTCGTAGCATCAGAACTATTTGTGTTATGAAGACTGGAAAGCAACAATATGCTAGTTTGAAAATCCGTAATAACTTGATGACAAATCGAAGTAAAAATAGTAACAAGCTGCATTTGAGAGTCATAAGTCATCAACTTTTGACCTTATAATCAAGTTAACTGTGGTTTTATCCCCCAAGATACTTGGCTGGGTCTGTTAACAGGCGATGCCATACAGAATTCCACTCCAACATAACATGCAACTTCAAGTCACATTTCATAAGCAAATTCTATACATTCAGAGCATAATATCCCAGAAATACATATAACCCCTGTAACTTACAGATCACTGAGATAGATTACAGTTTAATGAGGACAGTCTTGAAAGAGTATAACAGCAGCTGTACTGAATCAGATGAGAAACACAGTATACTACTGTATGTGGTCATTCTAGGCCACAGAAAATACCCAGATGAAAAATGAGCAAAGAATAGGACAAGCATATTTCCCAGGAAATGACAATTTGTAATTCTGTACTTTGGACTATCTTAATGATTTTTCAGGTGGACTTTAGAAGGTCTTTTGACCCCATTTTTACATGGGTCTTCTGCCAGTATAATGGTAGCGAGTTTCTCCATTGAAATATACCACATTAACAAAAAATATTTCCTTCAGCCTAAACCTTTCTTTTAGTGCCAATATGTTTGTGTCATGGGAAGATGAAAACACTCAGTTGTAGACTATTAACAAGTATATCCTCAATCTCTCAATGTTTTTTGGCTTTCTTTACTACAGTTCACATTTCATTTGACAGAGCTTATCTTGTTTTCTGTTGATCCACAACCTTTCATTTTCCCCAAGGATTTAGTACCTTCATGAGCATCAGCAAACTAAGATTTATACTTATTAACAATTTAATTTTATCTTCATTTGCTCGTTATATTTTTCCCTCACACATCTTTGTCACCAGAAACTAGACTGTTCAATTGTAACATGAGTTTTGACAATTTTTTGCCATAGAGCTCAGAGTAATTAAGAGAAAGATACTGTCCCCTTTGCAAACATGGTCCTGAAATTGGATCTTTAGATATATTTTCCAAGGACTGCTTTGTGAATTAGCTAGTCAAGCTCCTTACAAGAGTAAAGTTCTTAAAAGCACAGTACCTGTTTCAAAAGGTTCTGAAAAACACTCTGAAACAATATTCATAATGCACCCAATATCCTTATAAAACAATAAAAACTAAACCAAACCCACACTGCATCTGCAATTAAACTTAAAAGCAAAACCAAAAAAAATCAAGAAAGATGCAAAACATATTAAAGAAGTGTTCTGGGGACACATTGATATAGTGTTTATAAAAAAATACAAGTAACTGTGAACAGTGAAAAGCCTCAAACATCTTACATACTAAATTTTAGACTAAACTTCATGGCAAAGTTTTAATAAATTAATTTAAAAAAATAAATCAAAGATAGTGCCTTAGCTTTGGTTGTTTTTTACTAACCAACATTACTTTAATGATGCAGTCACACTGAGTTGATAAACTATTTCCCTCAGATAAATGCTATTTACAGCAGGTAGTTCCTTCCTCCACTCATACACAATTAGAACTAACTAAATTTACGTAATGAAGCAGTTCTCCTTTCAGGCCAATATAATTGCTGAATCAAACAAAGCACATATTATAAAGTATGGGCACCATCATGACATGATAATAAAGTTTACCTGATTTGAAGATCCAAAATTATCTGCCTTTTGTCCACATTTTCAGTGTACACTTTTACACCATTTATTCGCAGAGGCTGAAACAATGAAGCAAGTAAAAGTTGGATCCTTCTACTGAACTGTACCATATTAATCTCTAAACTCAAAATAAAGGTGAATATATGCACATTCATGCTTGAAGTTAAGAATTTACTATAAGTATTATTAAAAGGTGTGAAGTAAAGCTATCAATTTATCTCAAAATGTTATGTCAAGGGTTAAAATTACCTTGCTAGGATCCACTCAGTCACAACCCTTCTGGCAATAACCCTGGGTGTTGACCATTAGATTTCAAGATTTATGAAAACTTAATATCAAGTTTTCTCTCTCCCCCCAATAAACATGTAATTTCTCTGTACTAGTATATGTCTAACACTCCCAGACAAAGCATTCTTTTCTGTGCAACTAAAACAACAAGCTAAATTTAATTCACAAAGAAACATATTGCTTCAAGTGGATTTAGTCAGATTGGATGGAAAAGAATTCATAGTCCCCAACAAAAGTTGTATCAATCACTCTGTGTCCTCTTTAAGCCACTGCGCTCATGCTCTCTCCTATCCCCTCCACTCCCATACAGAAAGAGCACATACCAATCAAACATTCCCAAGACTCAAAGCTTCATCAAATACTAGATGGCAGAGGATGAGCAATGACCTTACTCAGCACCATCTCTGGAATTTTTGGAAAATTTGACATAATTCTATTTACATATTTTTAGTAATTTGTGTAAAACAGAAATCTCAACAGGCATGTAAGAGCTATATGTTATGACTTCTCCTTCTATGGGACTGAACAGAAGGTAAACACCTCTCTGCTCCTTGGTACAATGCTATGTTCACTCCTTTGGAAAGCTGAGCCAGCAGCCTTGATGTTAGACTCCATACATTACACAATTAACATGTTCATCTGTAATTGCACTTGAGTCATCTGGCAAGAAAATGATAATGGTCCCTGCTCACTGAATGCTAGTGCATTACATGAGCAGTATTAAAATCATGTGGCTATGAGCTTTTCAGTTGACTAGTAGTTACTATACGTTGAGTCTTCTCCCAGTTCTCAGGCAAATTTCTGAAGCAGAGACCCCAAGAAAAAGATTAAAAAAAAAATTTTAAAAGCTTCTGCTAAAAAAACCACAGGTTTTTATTTTAATGTTACAGCAGAAACCAAAATCGGTGCTACCAAAAAACACTTTTGTGTGGATTTGAACAGGCTACATTATAACAGTATGTAAGACAGCCTCTTAGGAAAACTTCATCAGCAACTCACCTGATGACCAATGTCAATCTTTGTAAAACTGAAGGTACTGAGGTGGTTGTTTGCTCCTCTTACTGCTGGTTCTATGGTTTCCCGGAAGAGTTTCTCAATAAATTGGCAAATAAAAGGCCACATCTGTTTTACAGTCTGAGGGGAAAACCAATAAAAATCTACACGGAATACAATTTCACACATAACTAAAAAGATATTCTTTAAGGCATAAATAAGAAATTCTGTACAAAGTTTGAAACACAGAAGTTTTCTATACAGCTCATCACAGACATAAGAACTGGTTCCTTTTTACATACAGGAAAGGTCTCTGGAATTTGTACAAGTCTGAAGCACCAGAGGAGGAGAAAAACCAATATAAAGAATTTTCTTCTCTTACCCCATGAATGTACATGCATTCAGCACTAATGCTGAATGTTGGGAAGAAGGGTGAAGAGAAATTTATTTGCTACATAGAGCTATATCTTAGGTTATCACACATACAAATCGAAACTGCAAAACTGATTCGTTTTTAGATTGTAGGTCAGGAATCCACAGTAGCTGGAAAGTATCCCAGACAAGTAAAACATAAATGACTGTATCTGCAGCTGCTATGACTTAAACACAATTATAGCTGTCATTATTCTAATGCCTCTTTAAGTCATTCTCCAAAACTCACTGTTTCCAGACTATGAAAATAGATTTAACCTTTCTCGTGACTAACCGGATCACTGACCAGAAGCTTCAATTGTATAAATTACAACTAGCCTGTTCTCTGATTCTTGCCTCACTCCTCTCCCCCTTTCCCATCTGGAAGCGATGCTAATGACTATTCTTACCTTGTTGAGCCATTCTGCCCTTTCTGTGTCTGGAAAATGGACCTAAAAAACAAAACCAAACAAAAATTAATACAAATACAAAAAAACCCACTTTTTAGTTAATCACGTCCAGTAACTTATAATACAGGGAAGCTTAGGGAACTCCCTACGAGCAATGTACACAGTGACAAATATGTTAAGCAGTTAACATTCCTGACAAGAGTTAGAATTCAAGCAGATAAAAATACAAACTAATTTCTGAACGACATAGATACAGGTCCAAGCATATATTTAATAGTGGTATCTGGATTAAAGTATTGCTTTAAACCATAAATGAACTAAAAAATTATAAATAATAAGAACAGTTGATACAGCCAGTGCCAACCAAATTTACCTCTTATATTTCAGGGGCTTTTAACATGATACATGCCAGAGTCCTGACTGCAGTTCTACTTCCTTTCATTCATGCCTGATCTTCTGCAAGATCAATGAATCATTGCTAGAAATATTTAATCAGTGAAGCTAAAGCTCAAGAATATGAGCTTTTATTGATTTCTTAAACAACTGTAGAAATTACTAAGAGGCAGCATTACAATGGTATATACATGGGATGGAAAGTACCTATCACAACAGGAAAACACCAGTTAAATACTGGAAGAACAGATGCAGTTTTCCAGACATAGAAGGAGAGCACAGTTAGTAGCTTTACATCCTACACACATACACACACGAGATAAAAACCTGAAGCAGTTCAGTAGAAGCAGAATTAACAAGCATTTCTTTAGAAACAAACAACTTCTACAATGAGATGCAGGTCACACTTCTAAAACACAAAGAGCCTTTGAACACACTAAAAAACTGTGACCTACATACACTGACTTTCATGAAGCAAAGTCTCAACTGAATTGTAAAGTCTTAATCTCTTCATAGCATAACAGATTGTACCATTGGTTTTAGCAGCAGTGCCTACTGGTTATTTTTACTATGCATATATCCCAAATGTGAACAGTCAGTGAAATATATCCTTTTTTAACTGTATTTTCAGCAAGTCAGATTTGAAAGCAAGTGACATTACTGAAAAGAGGGCAGATTTAGATTAGATCTAAGTTAGAAATTCTTCACTGTAAGGATGGTGAGACACTGGAACAGGTTGCCCAGAGAAGCTGTGAATGCCCCATCCCTGGCAGTGTTCAAGGCCAGGCTGGATGGGGCTTGGAGCAACCTGGTCTAGTGGAAGGTGTCCCTGTCCATGGCAACGGGGTTGGAACTAGATGAGCTTTAAAGTCCCTTCTAACCCAAACCACAACTGATGTTCAATACATCAGACTGGAATAAAAGAGGTAGCACTCTCTCTTGCACCCACCAAGCACCCTTCACATTCAGTCCTGAATTATTCAGAATCCCCTGAGTTAGATAGGCTGGGAAACAAGCAAGAGGCCATGCTAATATCTAGCCATATATGCTGATTCATTAATTTTAAACTTATCTACTGTACACAGTCTTTCTTAAGACCTTGCTTATCAGGACACAGTTCATAATTTTTCCACAGATTTAATAATTACTTCTCCTTTGGTGTGACACCGTTATTTGAGTAAGTTAGTACTAAGCTAACTCCTTAATTACATAAGCCTAGTTTACTTCTACAGTTGTGCATGTTAAAAGGCAACAAATAATACTATTAATTACATCTTTCATTCCTGTTTCTCATCCTTTTTCCATCCTAGCTTTTCTACTTGCTCCAGTTTTAACCTAATTCAGTTGTATTCAGTGCCTATTCTGACACCCCAAACAGAGAGCAGAGAATACAGTCTTCTACCTTCAAGACCAAAGTTTTTAATCTAGACAACCTTGAACCAAAAGCTGAGCTTTATTTACTCTTTAGATGCTCCACAAGATAGGTTGAAAACAAGTCATAAACATTTATCACTCTACTAATTCCAACCATTTCTAGCCTGCTATATGAGACTACAGTATGAATGGCAATGTTGTAATTCACTTTAAGAGTTTTTGATATCAAACACAATATTACGCAAAGACAACTGGGGAAAGCCTGAGGGGTGGAAGTTGGTACCCTGGATCAGTCAGGACTGACACCAGAGCACTGAAGCAAGTGCACAAACATCTTATGGCCAGAAACAGAAACAAGAATAAAACTAGCTGATATGCAAAATTTGTTAACTCACATATAAAATCTATTCAGCAAGCACGACACAAAGAGACAAAAGTCAAGTTTTCAGCAAAGAGAGTTAAAAACTGAAAGCATTTTCCACTTGGTTTCTGTTATTAAAATGCTCATGTAGGTTTGGCAATTACTGTCTCATTTCAACCACCTGGATTAGTTAGGTAGCATTCAAAGGAAAATATAACTAGAGAACTCTGTAAGATATACCCTAACAACCACGTTCAACACCAAAAACATTATAATACTACATGTTCCAGGAATTTAATTTTAAATGTTATATTGCAAAATACTTGGAAGTACTCAAAAGATAAGATTCTGCACATTAAAAGTACGTAATTTAGCTTTCTCACACAACTGCTTATGCTCAGCTTTAAACAGTTCTCATGTTTACTTCCCTTTCTGATGTGCTCATACCCTGCACTCTCAGAATCTCCATTCAGAACACATTATTTTTCTGATGACCAATAAAATACCAGAAAGAGCCGAAGGAATACACTTCCTTGTTCTGTCCTGGAAGATAATAAAACAAAATAGGGACAAAAGAAAACCACTAACAAGCTCCTATTTCCATAATAACAGCACAAACATTTCTTACCCACAAGTATTTTATTATTCAAACTCTCTATATATGCTTTTCATATTGGCTAAATTAACTCAGTCTTCTGGCCAGATGATCAGCCACATCTTTCTAAGGAAACAAGGCTAGACAAAGAATAACAACCATTAAACTCAAACACTATGGACTAAATATTGGTGGGAAATTTTGAAGTCAAACAGTAATCAACAAATGGTATCAAATGAGTTTTGAAGTAAGAATAATAATAATATTGCTGCCTTAAGTGTAATTCTTGGCTCACATAAGGGTGGTTTCACCTATTTACATAAATGTCACTAAAAGTAAGCATTGACAAGAAAATCGGAAAGAACGTAAGTTACAACACCCTTCTGGAATTAATGCTGAATTGCTCTCACCACAAGTTACAAGTATTAATAACCTACTTTAAAATACAAATTGCACAGTAGTTGCTATTATTCACTGATCCCCTCACTGTAAAATGCTTTTCTTTCTAAAATTATCTTTGCAGCTTTTCTCCATCCCCAAAGCTACTTACCAGCCGACCCTTATTATATTTAACTTCCATTTAATGATTAATACATAGTTCCAAGTACTATTCACATGAACTGAAACAACAAAAATGGCACCAACATTCAAAATACAAAACTACTGCTGTTGACCAGCGTATTCCATAAAGTGAAAACTTTTTTCCTACAAACCAATCACTTTATCAGGAATTGTATATCACAGCAGAGAAGAGGAAGCAATAAAAACAGTTTAAATAAAACAAAAAACACCAAACAATAAAACAAATAACCCAAACAAAACAAACCCTCCATACTACTGTATATTGGCTTTTTTTCCCCTTTTCCCCCTTCCCCAAATCCAAGAATTAAAGGTAAGAATTAAAATTTAGACTACATTAAAAATAATGTACTATAATAGGTATGTTACCTGAGTCAGCATCACATAGCTTATATCTAGTTCTTTCCATTTGCACTGTTTAACTACCTGTTGCTCCAGATGAAAAATCTGATATAAGGTCACACAATATAACAAAGTTTCTTGACATAGTCACAATGTAGCTAGGTATTCCTGAGCAGTTTTCCAGTTATTTCACAAATACCCCTTCTGCTTACTCTGGAAAGTTAAAATCCTCCCCACTATCAAAAGCCCAGCTTAAATATAGAAATATAAAAGGGTATCACAATTTGTCTTCATAGTCATTTCATGCATCATCAGTGGAGAAGGAGAGCACACCACAGCAGGAAAGTCAGGACAGAAACCCAATTTAGGTGCTCTAAATCACTTTCTGAATACATAGCATAAGCAGTTATTTATGTACTAAGCCTAAGGCTAAGTTGTGTGGCAAAAAAGAAACACACTAAAATTAAATTATCCTTTGAATTACAACTGCCAGATTAATTTGTCTAAACTCACTGCACTTGTAACTAAAAAAGTCCAACAAAATTTAGTAAAAGAATTAAGAAGAATCCCAGCATGAATAGAATAGAGTGTCATACAGTGATATTCAAGCTCAATTTAACAGCTATCCACTCCACTATTTTCCAGTCGGTAAAGCAGGCTGGCCTAAGGACATTTTAGATAAAATGGAGCTGAGCAGGGCTAATGGCTTAATCCCATGTATCCCAGCCAGCCTCTTGCTCTCTGGAGAAACAAGGAGCAGTTGTAGATGAAGTATTTGTTCCATTCCACAGAGGAATCGATGCGGAGTCTTCTGCTACTCAACACAATCTGAAGAGGCTTATCCTCAGACACAGACTGGGGAACAACCGCTCCTTTCTAGGAAGAGGTAAAGAAGTTGGGGCTTGAAGGGAAAGCAGATCAGCCAGGATTCTCCTGTCACTCCAATAACCTACCTTCAAGGTTACCCTAACAATTTTACAATTTTCCCAACCTCTATCAGCCCCAGAAATTACTGCAGCTCCCATATCATCTCAATTACAAGGAAAAACACACTAAATATTTACTGTTGCAGTACTGCAGGATTCAGTATTTCCAAAAAAGAAGGTTAAAATGTTAATAATGAGAGTTCCTCAAAAATGCTGCAATTAACCACAGGCCCTTGCTACTAAATTGACAAACAACTGCTATTTCCATTATTTTTTGGCAATCTCATTCTGTGTCTGTTTAGTGTTTGCAGTCTTAAATATATTAAAATTACCAGCCTTTGCACAGCAAAACTCATATTCAGTGTTACAAACACTGTATGTTTTCAGTATGGGGATAAGTAAGGACTCTTGAAGCACTTAGAATCATCAGGTGTGTGTTGCATATTTCAAATAAGTAGTACGGGTTTTGATA